ATTTTCGAGGCAGGTTGGTCAACTTGTTGCTCTGTATGTAGACAAGTTGGTAACCTAAAATGCGATTTCGTTTTTTTAGAGAAGCATTAACGTTAACATGTGTTTTTCGGTTCGTTTCGCTAGTGAAACTGCGTATAATTTGTGAAAAACGGGGGCGGTAGCGGTAATAAATACATCAAAATGATAAGCATTCCTGGCGTATCTCAAAAGTTTACCGGTGGTGTTGTGGTGTTCACAGTTCAAAAACTCTTACTGAAATGAAATCGGCCACCTGGTTGGTGCGTGTGTAGGGAATTTCGTTAAGTAGGTTGGTCAACTGGTTGGCCGATAAATCAATGCGTGTGTAGGGCCTTCAATAGGTGCGTTCGTTTAAAATCTCCAGAAATAACATCCAACAGCAAAATTCCGGCGAAATGTCACCAGTTCTCTCACAAGATAAAAATATCCAAAACAGTACACGAACAGGAATTCCCCCTATTTCCCTGCGATTTTGGTGGGAAATGTACACCGATTTAGTAGCAAATTATAGAAAATATTTTGTTAACAAATACCCAGAAGTTTTGGGATGAGTTTTCCGACAAATGAGATATCCACTAAAAATCCCAGTTCGATAAAAGTGATACTTCTTTTACCATTTCATTTTAGTTTATTCAGTACTTTTGTTAACCTCTTTCATATTCGTTTTCATACAATTAATAATTTTTCCTTGTGTTGTAATGCCTGAATTTTGTGTTACATTCATTAAAAATATTCTACAATATCAACAATATCAACACAAAATGAGGTTGTTGTTTTTGTTTCGAACGCAATGTTCCGAAACCATGCCACAAACGACGAGCATGCTGACTTCGTGAACCGCCCCACAAACGACGAAAATGCTGCGCAAGCCGAGCAAGCTCGCGTACATGTTCGTCGGTGTGGGAAAAACCTGTTATGGAGCTTTAGCCTTGCAGCCGGTGCGAACAGCTTTCAGCCCACAATCCCAAAACTCGTTTTCAAAGTGTTTTCGTTGCCGGTCCGAACATGGTATAAACTGATAATTTTAAGCAATTTATCCCTCTATCACTTTAGATGAAGACCCCTATTAATGTTCAAACAATAAATAATTTTTGCATTTACTTGCCTTTTACTTTGTGTAAAATTCCTTTAAAATATGGCAAGTGTTATCGATTACGCCATTGTAATATTCGAATGAATAGCTGTTAGAGGACGCCTGAAAAGCCTGCAAAGCCTGAACCAAGTTCGAAATTTAGCATCTTTCAGGGCTTGAGCGCGCCCTGAAAACCTGCTATGGAGCTTCAGCTTAAGAATAAAAACGTAAGTAGCCATATAAGTTAAAAAATAAACATTTTTATGCAATTATTTACCACGGTGCGTTCACGAAAAAATGCGGATAATATGATAAATTTGAGCAATTTATCCTTTTATCACTTTAGATGAAGACCCCTAATGTGTATTAAATAACACATCGAATAGTGTAATTTCAGTAGGGGTCTTCCGCTAAACTAGTAAAAGCCTCTTAAACCTTATAAAGCTCGTTAATTTACGAACCTCGTAAAAGAACTGTCAAAATCTGTATGGAGCTCTATTTACGAGCGTATATTTACGAGGCAAATTTTGATGCGCAAACGACCTCGCAAACTTCAGTGTTGCCGAAGGTCAGAAATTTTTATACTAAAATGTATGATAAAATAATGAAAATAAATGAAAAAAATGAAATGAAATGAAAATACGCGAATGAAATGAATCCACTAACGGTATTGACTTAGGTTCTCTGCTAATTTTCGGCGTTTTTGATTGTATTTTAGCCAAGCGTGATAGAGACAAGATGGCGGCAGTTTATGGAAAATACTACAAAACAATGACTTTACGATTTTAAGGGAATCCCCTAAGTGTCCGAATTATATCAGAAATAATCGCATCCGTATAGAAAACTGTAATGTCCTGGTTTGAATGTATTTGTGACTTTGCGCTTGAAATTGATGTGCAGACATTTTTGTAATTGCTCATGTTTTAAGCTGAAATTAGTCAAGAACGCAGAACGTATACTTAAACGCAGTCTGCGCAATTCTGCGTATAATATAAGTATAATTTTGTTGATTACTGGAGCCCTCAGTGTTGCTTACTACAGTATTGCCACTCATCAATGTCTTTTCATAAACTTACCTTTTCAACTACAGTTTTTCGTGCAATACACCCCTATTGCGAGTGTCGACTAGTAGTAGATAAAAGACTGTTAGTCGATTATCGATTATCCGTGGTATTTTCAAAGTCGTTTTCTCGCTCAATAAGAGCGTGTTATTAGTTTATAGTCGCTAATCCTTCTACAAACAAACAGTTGTAGAAAAATGAGCGATAAAAAAACTATTCACAGTCGCTTGTTGAACGAGAAATCGACATTCACAGTACCATGAACAAGCGATAATCGAATAAAGGCTCTGTTATGCATACTTGGCATTGCATGCACTGCTATACCATTTTTACGTAGAAATCAAAAACCAACAGACTTCTACGTATGTAATGCTGTGCGTTGAGTAACCGCTTACACGCGAAGCTCATTTAACAGATTCCTTATGTGACAACACTCAAGCAATGCCAAGTATGTATAACAGAGCCTTAAGAGTCGTTTATCTACTACTAATCGACACTCGCAATAGGGCTAATAATATTCAATAGTAAATTTCAAATATCTTAAACGTATTTTGAATAGGAACTTATAACTTTTCTTTTCTTACCTGCAAAACTGACGAAGTGACAACCATCTATAGAAGGAAGAAATCGGCTGACGCGGAAAAATCTAAATTCCGCAGATTTCTGCGCTATGGGCTACAACTACAGTAAAATTCTGCGGTGTTTAATTTTCATTTACATGGCGCTCTGTTAAGACAGATCGTGTCAGCAGACTCGGGTTAACGTACCGGTTGGTTTCCGTTCTTGACTAATTTCAGTTTTAGTGCGCTGCAGCAGAACTGCCACTTTAATGCGGGGTAGAAGCTGGAACCACTTTCTGAAAAACTTTACGGCCCGTTTCCACAGGCAAAAATTTTTGCCTACCAATTGTCATTTTTATTGCCTGGCAAAAAATTTATCAGAGGCAATATTTATGCGTGGGCATTTTGTAAGAGGCTATTTCTGCCGGATTTCATCACTATAAGAATTTAAAAAATATGCTATTTCACATCCAAGCAAGTAATAATATTTTAATAGAAAACAGCTCAATTTTTGCTTTTATATTGAAATATCAATAGCGTAGTCTCCACGAAGGTATCCCGCAAATGAAAACGTAGCTATCAAAGTTCTAAATTGCTGGCAATATTTATCAAGACAAAAGCTCTGATAATTATTGCTTGCCAAAAGCAATATGCGATCTCCATGGGCAAAATTTTGCCTGATAACATTATCAAGATAAAAACTTTTGCCTGTGGAGACAGCAAGCAACCTCACCGCACTGCCTCTCTTGCCGCAAATAGTGTTCTCGTCGTAGAAATGTTCCAGTGTGAAACCTACCAAAAACAATTATTTTTTATTCCATCGGCAATTTTATGTAGTCGCGAAGGGTCATGACACACGGTCTAACTGCCATCACTAAATTGGCGCGTCAAGCGCCAAGCAACTGTCAAAAATCCTCATGCCCATACAATTTGTATGAAGCATCCCACAATAACGCGGCGCTAACGCCGAGCAAATGGAATTTTCATTTTTGACAGGGCGTTACGTGCTGAAGTTGGATGCAGAAGACGAAGAGAAAGAGAAAGGACAAAAAAGTGAAAGAGGAAATAAGAATAAAAACGAGAGGACCTGAGAAAACGTCAAAAATTACGACGCGTTGATTTGGGTATAGCCCGCGATGACACTGTTTGACAATTGGGCAATTCACAAGGTGTCGTATTTGTCGTGAAGTCATGATATTTCATGACAGTTGTAAAAATGTTGTTATTGTTTTGTGAAGAAAAATAACACATGACGATACAACTCTGCAACCTATGTTTATTCGGTGTTATGTGAGGTTAAGTGCTGAGATATAATAAATAATCGTAACAGGTGTTCACAACCGTCGTGTTTTAACACAACTTTTGTTAGGAAAATATAACTTCACAACACCTTGTGAATTGCCCAAATGGATAACGCAACGCTTAGCGCTCCAATTTAGGGACGGCAGTAAGTCTCGCGATATTTATTGACGGTGTAGCGCACAATATTGATAGATCGTGATCCATATCGCAAAATTTCTAAAAAATTTGAAGAATTTGAATCCAGAGCGCGGATCACAATACCGTCAATAAATATTGAACGTGTAGCACTTTCAAAACGCGATCCATACATTTCGTCAGTACATCTTGTACTCTCATAATGCGAACATCGAAAACCTATTCGCTATGCCTTCGTTATTGGTGCTTAAAACCTTTCAAAACAAATTGAAAAAAATTTGAATTATGATTGGAAAATAATTGTGGAATGTATTCGTATAAAATAAAAATATTTTTTTGTGTCATAATAAGCGTTGAGCACAAAAATTACGCAAATACTTACGCGATATATATTGAACATGTAGCATTCATGCGCTATCCATCAATCCATCAATATGGATCGCGATACAAATATCGGATAATTACTGAACGTGTGACAGGGCCCGAATAGAGCTGGTGAACTATCGATGGTCGTGGCCATAGTCGATAGTCACAAACCTTGACAGTATCGATACTATCGAAAATGTCGACACTATCGGTAGCACTATCGATAGTTTTGATGAAAAAATTCCAAAACTTAAACATAACTTTTATTGAAAATGAGATCAGAATTGCTTAAGTATGTCGATATTTTTGTTAAGGAATTAAAGTTTATAAACAATTTTTGGCTTCAAGCAGCACCTGCGCTCTGAAATATGTATGCCGCTGGCTAATGTATATAGGAGTGAAAGCTATCGATAGTCATTACAAAACCATCGATGTTTTCGATAGTCAAAAGCATCGATACTACCGATAGTGCCATCGATAGTTTTCAAGGTCTAGTCCCGAATTGTTTTGTTAAAAATTGTGGGCAAAAATGGAGGATATAATAATTGAGAATATCCACTCCGTATGTCGTACATGTCTCCAGGAATTCGGGGAGAAGTCATCACCATTGGGTGAAAAGTATAGCCTACATGATAGTGAGGACCTTGAAAAACTGTTAATGGCCTGCACCGCAATGGCTTATGAGGATGAGGTTGAATTGCCTGAATTTATATGCTATTCTTGTTATGAAAAATTGCAAAGTTTTTACGATTTTTGCTGTAAAAGTGCCGAGTCGCTTTTCATCTTGACCCATATTCTGAAAGAATCCAACCGGGATCCACTTGTCCAAGCAAGTTATCGCGGAAGGGAAATTAAACCGGAAAATAGAGATACATGTGTTGAAATGAGCGAGTTATGTGAAGTAATAAGCCCAACCAGAAGACGAAGAAAACTTCAAAGCTGCTTAGAAAACACGGTAATGGAAGGCATCGCCTTTTAAAGCATCCCACTAAAACTATCCTGAAGATTTTAATTGTAGGTACATAATTTCCGCTATTCGCAGGTCTTACAAATTCCAGAAGAGCCTACGGAATCCCCAAAGGTTATCAAAAAAGATATAACTGAAAATTTTGATGAAGTTGAGATCGACATAAGCGATATAAAACTAAATGCAAAGGAATTTTTATCGATTGCATCGTACTCCAGAAATTATGATGATTCATTAGAATATTTAGAGATTTGCCGAGAAAGCCCAGATCTGCAATCCGATGAAGGTAGACTAACGGACATAGTTATTTCTGAACAATCGCAGGATAAAGAATATAACACAAACTGCGAAAAATTTAGTGATGACCATTCTGATACATCTGCAAAATTGTCGACAAATGAAAGGAGTAAGAGCGGCAAGAATATAAAAAGGAAAGCTTCCCATAAAAAGAAAAAGCCAACAAAAAGTAAGAAGTTCTCTGAGGCCAAATCCGTTAAACAAAGCCAAATTGGCATTGGTGGAGGCGCCGCCAAATTTCAGTGTGAACAATGTCCTCGACGTTGTGTTACTTCGGAAAATTTAGAGGCTCACTTGCGCACCCACCAAGGCCTCAAACCATTTCTGTGCAAGGATTGTGGCCGTAGCTTCAATAACGGAAACCATTTCCGCCGTCATGTGCGCGATGTCCACGGACCACGACCTGTTGAGCTGACATTCATCTGCCCTGTCGAAGGGTGCGGTAAATTTTTTAATCGAGAAGCCTCTTGCAAAATGCACTATCGGCTCAAGCACAACCCGGCTATTGCGAATCGTAAACCAAAATCATTGGTTTGTGAGGACTGCGGAAAGACATTTCCAACCAATTCAAAATTAATAGAACATCGCTATAAGCATTTACCCATGGAGCAGTATCCACACAAATGTGACGAATGTGGCAAACGATATAAAAACAGAAGAACTTTTAGAGATCATCAATTGCGGCATGCTGGCATAAAAAACTTCATATGCCCTCATTGTGGCGTGAGGAAAACCACAAAAAATGAATTACATACACATATTAATTATCATACGAAAGAGAGGCAATGGCCCTGTTCGAAGTGTGCTAGTGTATTTAACAATTCAGGGAATTTGCGTTTGCATGACCGCATTGTCCACCTAAGGTTACGGCCTTACATGTGTAGCTATTGTGATAAAAGTTTCGGAAAACAAGCCACTTGGAAACATCATGAAATGCGGCATACCGGCGAAAAACCTTACGGTTGTGATATGTGTGGAAAACGTTTCATTCAGTCAGTGGCATTGCGCGCTCATATGAGAAGCCATAACGGAGAAAATTCCACAAAGTCCATTAAACAGCCAATCAAAGAAACCCCAGTAGCGTTTCTGGAAGGCATTGTGGATTCCGAAATATAAAGTTTGATGCAAAAATTAATAGTAAAACGGACTTGGTGGAGTCAATTGCATAGTATAATGGTACATCTTAAAAAGCGAGAGATAAGTGTAAATAAATTTTAAAAGATTTTTGCACTATTACACACTTTTTTGCTTATGTAAAACTTCAAACTTGAGGAATAGTAACTTGTACATTGATGGTGATGGATAAGGGGTATTCACACCGTCGAAGTGTCTTGTTAGTCGACAGAAAAGGTGTTTCGTAACAACTAACCCAGGTTTTAACAGGAGTAATCAGACGAAATAAGCTTCGAATTTATAAGTATGTATGTACATTATCAGCACAATTGTTAATACTCCCGGGGAGTTTGTTCTCCGGGAATTTGTTACCTCAAAAATTTGGGAGGAGGAAATTCGAACTTCAAAAAAGGTGATTGACACTTTTTTGACAGCTCAACTCCGCCATTTAATATAAAAAATCCTCGAAATTTTTATCCATAATAGGAGGAAAGAGAAAAGAGAGAAAACTCCCAGGGAGTTTCTAATCAGAGTCGGCCTGTATATATCTTATATATTTGTTAAACTACATATTGCTCATTTACTTCAATAATGTCGTAACTCAACAGTGAAACTCGAGAAAAACGGGTTTAAAGTTTTAAATTTACATATCGGTACCTTACTTCACAAAGGACCTAAAGCTGCCTTAAGACGTGTCGATTTTTGTCGTTCAACCAAAATCGAGCAGAGTAATTGGCAATGCAACCGTAAAATGTAGGTGTTTTGACTGGTGGATTTTCCAGTCGGCAGAAATCGACCCGTGTAAAGGCAGCCTAACCTACAATATTTTTCATTTTACAGGAGAAGCGAAAAACTTTATAAAAACATGTAGTACCAAGAACAGGTGGGTCTTTTTAAAGAGTGGCATGTAATTTCGCTGTTTTTGGTACTAACACTTTAAATTTCTATTCAAAGTGTATTTCAATACATCGTACAAAAATCTGTGAAAAACGCAGTTTCGAAAAAAGTGTTGATTAGGGTATTTGTGAATTAAGGTAACGATTTACTTCCATAGTAAAAATTAATACATGTTTTGTTGTTGTGAAATATTGGTAATCAACACTGCTATGAAATTTTTACACAACATATAAAAAGAAGTAACGGTACCCTATAAACATTCGGACTCATTTTAGAGTCAGAAGTCTCAGAATTCCTTTCACTTCTACGCGAACTTTGTTCATTTATTTATCTCGGAATTTATGACACCAAAATAGCCGGAAATGAGTCTGGCTGGTTGACTGGTTCCTTTCGGCATAGATAATTTGACAGTTAAAGATAAATCAAATAAATCTACCATATGGCAGCTGTTGCAATAATGAAGGCATGTGGCAGCACCGTTTCAATGTCAAATTTGACACAAAAAAATACATTCGGTGAAAATCAGCGAAAATCGATTAAATTTTGTATATTGCCAGGATATTATTAAAAAAAAATTGTGAAACCAAAAAATAAGATTTTATGATACCATGAATCAACTATCGCGCAATAATTTACAAGAATTTTGTCGCACTTGCTTGAAAAGCTTGCAAAAGCGCCGCAGACGTGAGCGGGAGTCATCGCCCACTAGCCTGGAACTGCTGAATGCTAACGACTATGACAAGGATAATGATTCTGATTCCATATATAGTTATAATCTAAGTTTGCTGCCAGAGTTACAAAAATTGTTCGTACTATTTACATCTTTAGAATTTTCGGAAACGGACAATGAGGATGTTTATCCGCGGAGCCTCTGTCAACTGTGCTATGACAAGATGATTGATTTTCAAGAGTTCCGTCATTTGGCAATTAATTCGGCAGAAGTCCTATATAAAATTGTAAACAGTTTAGATGATGAATTGACTAAGGCACCAGATGAAGCATATCATCTTCAGCCGAATGAAGACAAGGAAGGCATAATAGAAAAGTTTAGTATCGAAAGAAGCTACCAAAACATACATGATGACGACGACCAACTGGTAAGAAAAATCTGGTCCGTTTTTCTTGAGGTCTACGAAATGACCATCACTGAATTCGAATTACTTTGAGCCCCACACGTTCACAACACATGCGACAGTAATAGCCTACTAGAGCTTGAAGAATTTTTGTAGAATTCACGAAAAACAAAACTTGATGAATTCGCGGCATTAGTCCCTATTATCTGAAACTTCTTAAATCTTTTGTTTTCAATTTTAATATGCCATTACAAGCCAGATAAAATGCAAAAAGCGTGAATCCTTCCGGATCTATCAGGCAGGTTCTGCAATTCATTTCCGAGTGAATTACAACCCTTGGAATTTGAATTCAAAGCGATTAGATTGAAATTTACTCGGAAGTGAATTGCAAAACCTGCTCGTATAATTGTAGCACTTAAACTTGCTTCCGGAAGCGAGTGGAATCTTTGTTATGATGTGGCTACCCCATTTATGTATATATAAAAATTATTACAATTGCAAATCATATTTAACGGCTTGTGTAATAAATAGCACTCCTCATTATCATAGTATAAAAACGCGTTTAATTATACATACATACGTATATGTATTTATGTCCCATGTGTTAATTTTCAGCTCCTACCTGAACTTGCTCCTCTAAGAGAAAATCTAATTAAGAAAGAGCCTCTTGATTATTATAAGCCAGATAATCATTCTGAAATGATTCTGCCAAACGATATTTCTGAAAATTCGACTGATGTGATCATCAAAACCGAAATCGATTTGGAATACGAGAAAAAAGAAAACTCACTATTTAACGATAATAATGCATTAGACAAAACTTATAATTCGATTAGCGATGATGCTGATGACGAGGATCGCACCTACTCTAGCTCTCGTAAAATACGCGACCGCAACAAAAAATCTCTTAAATGCCCACGCTGTGATAAATACGTGTATAAACAGGTTTACCTGGACGCCCACATTCGCGGAGTACATGAAGGACACGAAAAACCATTTCTTTGTTTGGAATGCCAAAAAGCCTACACCCGCTACGATCAACTGCATACGCATATTCAATCGCATCATATGTATGATGCAGTTTTTAAGTTTAGTAATACCTCGCAAATGAATGACACAAGTAAGAGATTTTGGTTTGCTTTTTTATATAGTCAAATCACTGTTATAACTAACGTTTCTATATTTTAGCCTCGTTCCGGAGTGGACTGCAATTCAATAGCGAAATAATTTGTCAACAGTGCTTCAAGCAGTATAGTTCAAAGCGCGCTTTGTCCGAACATCTGAAACGGCATGCTCAAATCAAGAATCATATATGCACAGAATGTGGCGTAGGAAAAGTTACAAGTACAGAATTGCAAATTCACATGCGCACACACCAATCTAATTTAGAGAAATTCAAGTGTAGCATTTGTCCACAGGAATTTAGTCACAAGAATGCAATATCCCGACATGTACGAGTTGTGCACGAGGGCCAACGTCGGTTTCCGTGCAGTTACTGCCAGAAACGTTTTTCCACACGCAATTCGCAGATCTCGCATGAACGCTTGCACACCGGCGAACGTCCCTTCAATTGCGAGGTATGCGACAAACGTTTTGCGCAGGTGGAAGGACTAAAATCGCATATGAAGAACCATGACAAGACTTTGCGCAAACATATATGTTCGTTCTGCTCTGCAAGATTTATCACGAGAAAAAATCTAATAAATCATGAAAGGCGACATCAAGGTGATAAGCCCCATCTCTGTAATGCTTGTGGTCGTGGTTTCTTTTCAATTGAAGATCTCGGCGCACATAAGCAGTCACATACCGAAGATGAGTTGCATGGCGAGTTGGAGCCGAGTGATTATGATACGTATCAAGATGCTGGCGATAGTCTTGGAGAGCCAGCAATGGAAGCGGAATCCTGTACGGATAATCGGCTTGGAGCGTTTTTTT